ATATCGAGTGCCAGTCCACTGGAGAGTCTTGTGGTAGCCCTTGGGAGAGAACCAAGCCGGAGAGCGCCGAGTATCACAATGATTTGGCCAGGCACCTTCTTTCCACCTGGAACCTCCTTCCACGCCACAGAAGCCCCGGCGTAGTTCCACCCACAGTTCACCTCCTTGGTAGGGTCCGAGGCCGAGGAGAGTCCGATGCATTGTGGCATCCAAATGCATGCCGCCCCTCATGTTCACGAGTATGCTGAAGGAGGTCCAGTGGTAGTCATGGGACCCAGAAAGTCGCCGTAGACATTCGTTGATGTAGCGCTCGACCTGGGGGTAGTGTCGAGAGTTTCGAGTCACCCCATGGTAACAGCCGTGGGCGTAGAGGCCGAAAACCAGAGAAAAACTATGTTTGCGGTCAGGAGCCACAGCCAAACGACCAATATGGTGGGCCCCCGGCTGCATGCATGCGATCAGGTTCTCCATGGACTGGTAATCGAAGGCCTCCTGGGACATGAGCAACTCCGCGAAAGACTCGACCTCCGACTTGTTCAGCAGGGTCACGATGAAGTCCTCTCCCTCGTCCACCTTGCTCAAAGCAGGTCCTCGGGAATTATATTTTGTTGGGTTTTGAGGTCTTTTGATTTGGGTGATGAGGTAGTTTTTCCTGGTCGATCAAGATGGTACCTGGAGACAGTGGACTGGACCCCTGAGATGTCGACTGTGCCTTTGGTGACTCCACGGTGGTCTTGCTGGATTGGTCCGGGTTCTTCGACTGGTCCACAGTGGTCTTGCTGATTTGGTCCGGGTTCTTCGACTGGTCCACGGTGGTCTTGTCGGTCTTGTTGGATTGGTCCCGGTTCTTCGGGCGGTCCACGGCGGTCTTGTTGGAGTCCTCGGCCACATCGTTCCTCATCTCGGGTCCACTTCCCTTGCGAAGACGGCGTAGATGCTCCAACCTGGCCATAGCTGAATTCTCTGCCGCCGTCAAGGTGATCTCCCGGTTGGAGGGATACGCCTCGGTGTCGGGAGGGAGATCCTGTAGTGCATCGGAAACATCCTTGGCCAAAGGAGCACTCTTGCGGTGAATGCCGCGACATCCCATCCGAGGGGTGTGCGTGAGGCGCATCTTGCACTTCTCGCAACCGGGTTGGCTCCCGTCACACTTCCTTTGTAAGCCCGAGCCACTTGATGATTGCCGAAGCAGGGGGCTCCCTTGGCGGCCCCTCCATGCGCTCCTCGTCCAGCGGATCGCTGGCCTTCTTGGAGCCCTTCGCCTTGGTAGCTGGAGTAGCTTTCGCCATGAAGGGCAATCAATCCCGTCAGGACCGCAAGGCCTCGCATAGGATCTACAGCTTGAACTTCTGAAGGCTGCAACGTACTAGACGATGTAAGCACAAGCCCTGGGCACTGCTCTGAAGGTGAGTCATCTACAGGAGGATCAGGAGGGCATTCACAACCACCAGACTCTCCTACTACAGGTCCCAACTCAAGTGGCTGAACGCACTTGGTGACATCCTGGACCATGAAGCTGCTAGCGTTCCCTTCTCTTGAAAGAAGTGGAGAAAAGTCCAAAGGTCGGGTGAGAGCATCCAATCGGTGGCCTTGTTGCAACCAATTGTCCTTCAGACTCACCAGAAGATGACCAGATTTTCTGCGCTTCAGAGGTACAACCAGGCCTGCATCAATGGAAGCAAACACAGCTCGGCAATGCGCAACGTCCACAACGGCATGCAACCTCGTCATGGTCTTTATCCCTATGAGGATTGGCACTCCTACCACGTCCAACGTGTAGATTCCGAGATCCAGCTGATGGCTTCCTAACGTCTGAGGTAGAAGCAAGAAGGAGGAAGAGACCGCATACTCTCCGTTCCCAAACTTGAACTTCTTGGGAGGCTGATCAACAACCTGAAACGGAACATGGTTGGAGTTGTCAGGTCCTTGATCCCGAACTTTCATCAAGGCCTCCAGCGAGGGAAGTGAAGCCACCGTCTCGGTCGCCCCTGAGTCCAGCACTGCATAGCCCGACAAGTCCTCGAAAACATTCTGGGAGTAGATCTTATCCCCTTCCACGTCCTCCTCAATGACAAAGGCGGCCGGGGGGATGGTCTCCTCCTGGTCGATGTCCTTGTCCTGCTCGTAGCAGATGGTGCCCACATCGGCAGCAAAGTGCACGGATCCCTTGCCGCCGCCCTTGGAGTGTCGCTTCGCGCAATTCCGGTAGTCATGGGACTTGTTCCCACAGATGAAGCAACCACTGTAGGCCGCATCCCCAACCGCGGCGCCCATGAAGCCCGTTCCATCATCATCATGTCCTTGGACAACAGTGACAACAGAGGAAGCCAAGATCGGAGGGGCCGAACTCGTCGAGGAAGATCCATAACCCTTGCCACTTCGGCTTCCCTTTGCTCTTGCCCTTCTTCCCCTTGAAAGCTCCACCCTTACTAGAGGGAGAGTAAGGATAAAAGCCCCGGGAAAGATTCCGGGCCTTCACGAAGTTCCGCACTTTCTGGTCCACCAGGCATATGCTTCCTCCAACTCTTTCTGCTGCTCCACCAAAAGATTATCGTACCACCACGAGGATCCATCATCGTAAGGATCCCAGTCATCGTAGTGGTAGTCCCACCTTTACTGTAGCAGTCCCATTCTTCCTGATAATCAGGAGCCGAAGGTCGAGGCGGATGCACTTGGTGAGGAAGCTGCTTTCCGACGTAGTGAATCTCCGCAGAGTCGAAGAGCTCGTCGAGCTCCTGATTCTCTCCCAGCCACATGGACCACTCACCTTGCTCTTCAACCCAGTAGGTCTTGTGCCGTCCTTTCCCACCGGGCCCGTGGTGGCCCCGAGGACGGAGCTCATGGAGAGGATCTCCTCCTCCATCGCCCTGAGACTCTTCTCGAGGTCGTCAAGACGAAGAGAATTCCCGGCGGCAGACTGAACTGCCAAACTTGCCTGATGACTGATACCTGATCGTCGCAGCAACAACCATCCCAAAGCTTCACTTGGCAACACGTCCGGCAGGCTCTCGTCGTACGTATCCCAGAGGGGAGACTGAGGAGACCTTCGGCCGGGAGCTGGACCACCCCCAGAAGTTCTTCACGTTCCTGATCTTCATCCGGCGGGCCGATGGTCTCTTGCTCGGCATCTGCTTCGTCTTCACCTTGGAGTTCTTCCTGGGTCTCTCGGCTTGCCCGGCGCGGCGAACTCGTAGAAGGAGGCGACGAACGGGTCGGTCGGGAAGTCGAGGGAGAAGCAGTCGCTGGGGCCGCAGGAGATTCCCGAGGTCCGTCATCTTTACGAACGCGACCCAAAGCAACTTGAAGTTGTCGATAGTGATACCTCAGCTGGCTTGACCATGTAGACACGCTCTGACCCGGTGCTGGGCGGATACGAAGGATGAGGTTCTCGAGGCGGGTGCCGACGTCGGGCACGGGGGTGCGACCCAAGCGCTCTCTTAAGTATTCAAGCAGGTAGATGACACCATTTCTTCGAACCAACATCCGATGATCAATATCTTGGGTTATGATCCAAGCCCTCTCAGTCAACTGAGCGACCACTTCAGGCCCCAACAGATGCTTCTTTCGCCTGGGCGTCCGTTCAAAGGACAAACGCACCCGGCGCATGAAGTCCGGGTAAGTGGCCGGATCCCCATTGCATGAGCAGTGAATTCGAGTGTCGGAGGAGTCATGCGAAGCCATGACGCCGATGGAGGTAGTAGGGCTCGTGCCTAGTCAAACTCCTTATCGGGATCACGCCCACAACCTCTTCGGTGATCAAGAGGGCAAGGCCACCCTACACGAAGTTGAGCTCCCCACGCCGCTGGCTCGAGCTCCGCTACCAACACAAGTGTGTTGGCAGCCTCACCGCTCAAGATCACAGCAATCCGAAGCGTGCGACGTGAAAGTGGTAAATCGCAGTCGCACTTGTCCTCGCTGTCTTGGCGATCGGCTCAGTCCTCCGGACCGCAAAGCGAAGCCTATGGCTCAACACTATTCCTAAGCCAAAGGCGCGCCTGCGGATCCAAGATTGCATGCTGATAGTTCGAGCTGCAGGCAAATTAAGCAAACATACAAGACTTAGGTGCCGAGTTCATAAGCCAAAAAAAGTTTAAACTTTCAGTTTTAAGAGGGTTTCATTGTCCCAAAAAGTTTAAAGTTCATAAACTCAGCTACTAAGAAGAGGCAGCCTCTCTGACAGGCGATGTTCGCCGAAGTCCTTTTGAGCACAAGCCCAGACGATAGATGACCAGACCTGCTGCTGCCAGCACAGAGATCTCGAAGGATGTGGAGGCACTGGAAGGACCCACCCAAATAGTCGGTGCTGACGACATGCCATCACAGGGCTCTGGATCTCGGCCTATTTCCCCAGAGTCTGAATATTTTGGGTGTCTGCAGTTCCCACCCAACCTCCCGACAAGAGCACGAGCATGTTACATGCGCATGAATGCATGTTTACCAGGGGAGAAACGGACGCCCAATGATGCTCATTATGTGCATGCAAATCATGATGCGCTCCTTGTGCATGCAAACCAAGAAACGGAGCACGCAAATCTGGTGGTTCCCGCCCCCCTCCCCCCCCCGCCCCCGCGCCCGCCCAATGGCGGTCCCCCATTTCCCCCCCATCAAACAATAACCTTCCAACGATGCGCTCGCCACTTTCGGTCGATTTTAGGTGGGGTCGACGCTGATGATGCGCCCCTTGTGCATGCAAACAGATCTGGCGGTCCCCCCGCGCCCCCCCTCAAACAGTCATCTTCAGCACTGATGCGCTCGCCCGTGCGGTTGGTTGGGAGGTGGTGGCCATGCATGGTCGTTCAGCCTTATGCTCGCGAAGCCGAGCTTCACAGATTTCTGGTTGGATTGGATTCGAGTAATTCTCCGTGCCCGTGAGTGGGGGGTTGTTGCACCAGTCTTCACCATTCTTCAGCTCTGTCTTACCCCGGGAACCAACTTCAGCAAGTCTCCAGCAAGCATCTCACAATACTTGCACGCACCACGTGCCACCAAGACGGCGCGGCCTCTGCGCGGGCCTCCTCCAAATCCGCCTCTTCCTAGAACAAGGCATGCTGACCAGCAGCATCTGCAAGCTGGAAGCCAGCCAAAAAGGAAAACAGTGGGTCACCTCTTGTCTTCGTCTTTCCTCTTCCTCCTGCAGTCGTGCGCTTCCCTGCATGCTGCTTCAGCTCCCTGACTGTCAGAGCTGACTTCCGTCTGCATTCTTCCGGATTCGAAACCCCTTACATCGTGAAAGCCTTCCACCAATCCTCTTTGCAGCCTTCCCCACCTGCGCCTTTGGTCATTATTCGATCTCCCTGGTTTTTATCCTTCCGTGAACCCCAGCGTCTCTGCAACTGCCTCTTCCTCTGCCACGGCCTTCTGAACTGCTTGCTCTTCCTGCTTCTTGAAATGCCATTGCACCACAGGCTTAATGTGGCACAGTCGCTCCATCATTCACTGCCATGACATGGCCCGGCAGTGCACCTCTCGTCGTCGCCTCTCTTCTTCTAGCCGTTCTCTTTCCTGTGCACAAACACGGCAATGTCAGTTGACGATCACGGCTGCAATATCCGAATGACCAGGGTAAGGACAGGCGGAGCTGATCTATCAAGTCCTAACTGTCCTAACTTGTCCAGGCTCCTCTGCCTGGGCTTTTCTAACCGATGTTTGCTCCTATGCCGTGAAGGGGTCTGTTCATGTACTCCAAGAATCCTATGCACAAGCTACTCGATGCGCCAAGGCCACACAAAGCAAAGAGCAAGACTTGTCGTGCTGCTGCCCATGCAACACAGGATCCTCATCACCTTAACGCAAGCAAGCAGTTTCCGACGGCCCACCTCTTGTCGGTGGAGCTCCGCTGCCGCCTGCAACTCTGCAACAGATCTTGCGATGCCTACACGTGCCACATGTCACAGAAGCGTCGCCTCTGCACGAGCCTTCTCCAATGCCGCCTCCTCCTGCCGCACAACAGGCTAGTCGCAGCTTAGCATGGGCAAGCTGGAAGTTGTCAAGACAGAAGACATCTTCGTGCACCTGTCTTCGCCTTTCCGCTTCCTCCTCCAGCAGTCCGGAAAGCTTCCCAACTCAAGCACAAAAACACTCCTCAAAAAAGCCATCTCCCTGGTAGCCCGCTCCTGCTCCAGCAATGCCTCTTCCTCTGCCAGGGCCCTCTCAAGAGCTTGCTCTTCCTGCTTCTACCACAGTTCTAATGTGGCACACTCGCTCCATCATTCACTGCCATGACATGGCCCGGCAGTGCACCTCTCGTCGTCGCCTCTCTTCTTCTAACCGTTCCCTTTCCTGCACACAAAACATGCACTGCTGTACGACGTGCCAGGGCTGTAAATATGCCTAGCACAGTTTGTGAGGATTTCTGCCTCTGCCTGGGCCTTCTCCAGGGCTTCTCGCTCCTGGTCCTGTTGCTCAAAAGGTGACCGTTTCAGATGACGTTTCATGCTGGATGCTGGCCGCCTGTTGTCTACGCATCGCTGCTGCCTGCATTTTACATCTCATCGAGAACCGTGCTGTGCAGTTTGGGATGGGATTCAAGCAAGGACTCGACGTAAAGTCCGGATACCCGCCTCTTCTTCAGCCCTCTCCAAGACCTCTACCTGGCACAGCGGAGCACGGATCTCAGGCCAGGACTGCAGTGTAAAGCCAGCCTCGTGGGCCCTTGCCGCCTGAGAAGTCGCGAAAAAGCCAAAGAAACAAACGGGCGGCTCTCTGTCGCGAGTCCCGACCTTTGACTCCATTGGCGCTTCGGAAGCTTCCTCCGCATTGAGAGCTTGTGTTTGGCAGTGGTACCACATCTTTGTGTCAATGGCCAGCGGCTTCCCACTAACGGCTTGGCGCCGGCCAAGTCCATTTTCATCGCTGCTAAATACTGTCTGGACATGGGCTAGGTTGTGGGAATCCCAGATACTCCTGAATGATCGAGACCTGTTTAGAAGGCTACAAACATGATTTTCGTGCACGAAGCTTTGTGCCAACATCGCCAAGGAACGCCACCGAAAGTGAATCCGACGCATTAATGCAGATGGACGCAGGACGGGTGTGGTAAGTGCAGAAACTTGCCCACACCCTGCTCAAAGGATCGCCTGTCCTCTCTCTGCACAACGGCCTGCAAGTGAAAGCGTCCGAGTGTCGGTGAGAGCAGAAATGCCGAAATCTTCTCATAACGCTGCGCCTCCATCCGACGCCTCAGTCAGCAAGAACTGTGAAGTGTTTTTTTGCAATGAGTTAAATGGACGGACTACCTCCCCCAGCCAGCACTCATGGCCCTAATGCTCCTTGCAATCTCTGATTATTGCCGTCTTTTGTGTTGAAGCATTGACGACTGCATAGAAGCCCAGCTGTGCCTAAAAAGGGCTTCAAGGTTGGCCCTCGAGATTGGCGCTAGGCCGTGCTCTTTGTACGCCTCGCGTTGCCGCGGCCCACCCTGTTTGTATAAGGTATTGTTGTTCAAGCTGTTGGTGCGGGGTGGTGTTTTCAGCGGGTTGTTTTTGCTGCTTGTGCTGGGTGGTGTTTGTTGCGGTTGGGCCCCAACTTGCCGGTTCACTCACTTGCTGGTTTGTCGGGGCCTCAAGCTGCAGAGCACAACAGAACACCAAAAAAGAACACCCGTTCAAGGGCCGCTGCAATCAACATCAAATTTGCCAAAAAGCTACCGCAAACAAAGCCAGGCCAGTTAATTAAGTGGTGCCCCCACCCCCAGCCCTTGGCTGATGGAGCATAAAGCGGAGAGGCGGACGAGCATAAAAGCAGAGACCCGCAGCATAAGAATGGGCGTGCCAGCATGAAAAGAGAAACCACAAGAATGACATGAGAACCCATGGGCATAAGAAACCAAACATGCCGCCAATGGGAGATGGAGGCGGATGGAGACATGGAAATGGACAGCATTGGACAGGATTCAAAAAAACATTGGACATAAGAATTAACACCCAGTCCTTCTTTAAGTTCGGACTCCTGGCCCTGGTCCGGCTTTCAAAAATTGCCAATGAAGGGCTCTTGGGGTGGGTCTGGGGACTTTCTGGAGTTATGGAGCTGGAGAATTTCCATGTTCGCCAGCTCCCAGCACCTGCTTGCATCAAGCCGCGCCTTTCAGAGCAGAAAAGTTGGCCCAGGTAAACTCCGAAAGCACGCGATGGCTTTGCACGACAAAGGCTCTGGCATCTTTGCCGCTTCCGCCTGCAACACTGTTGAAAGAGGTCTTATGGAACTTGTTCTCTGTTGCCGTGTCACACTGAAAACGTTGCAGCCATTTGCTGGACTTCGGGTCTGGACTTTCAGGTTGCGAAAACGGGTTGCTGGAAGTTCCTCTCACTCGCGATGACACTCATGGCATCGCAAGGCCTGACATAAACGAGGCTCGTGTTAAGGGCACGACAAGGATTACCTGCAAGGGGTACTAAAGGGGATCTTAAGCTGCGGTAAAGGTGGCCTGATTTCGAAAAGGATTACATACTGTAGGAAGCACCCAGGCGGACCACTCTAAGAGTCGAGCATTGCGTAGACAAGTGCATGTGACATGCATGCCTTCCAACCAACGTTCCAAGCAAACAGATCTCCAGGTTCATTGGTAAAAAGAAAACCATACCTAAGTTGGGAACGTTTCGATACGCGTGTATGAAACATGACAGGGGTGACTGTTAGTTACAGGAGGCGACCATCCAACAAGCCCCCTGTCTGTGCAATTATTATGCAAGCAAAGCCTTCTTGGCCATGTCGTCCAAGAGCTTGGAAGCAGAGCTGACGGACTTGCCACCTATCCCGGTTGCATTTCAGGCACCAACAGACAAAGTCGCACTCGCTGACCCATTAACCAACCGAGAGTTCGACGATGCTTCTTCGGTCGAAGGGAGGTGTCTACTCCCTTGTCTTGCAACCTCGGCACAGGATGGCACAGGCATCATGTGTTGGGGGTTGGAGGCTTCGTCGCACTGCCTTGTCGGCGAAACCAGCCGAGGCACAGCAGAATGGTCGGCTTCAGCTTTGAATGAGCTGCGCAGTACACAGCCGTTCGCCCATGCTTGTCCTGGGACAAAGTCTCGCGAGAGCTGTAGAGTTTACTAGTAGTAGACTCACTACACGGGGCCCATCCTGCAGGTCGCAAGCCTTCGCTGTCATGTTTTCCAGCAGCCACTGGACCTAACAGCACAGCCCCTCTCACGTTCGGCCTGTCTTACACGTGCAGCCCAGCAGCTGCATCGTTCAAACCAGCATGAGCTGCCAAGTGCAACGGTGTCTGACCTGCAACACGGGCCGACTCGCGTATCACTAAAGCGCACACTTTTGAGCGAGGACTCTTCTTAGAAACTGCTAGCAGCGCCAGCAGCCTTTGTAGTTCAAGACGTTCGGGTCAGCTGCCGCTTCTGCGAGTGCCACGCAAGCCCGCCTTGAAGGCTGCAAACCGTTGCTCAAGCCGATCTGTTGAATCCTACAGAGAGCTGCCATCGGGCGTGGCAGCGCACCTATTCGGAACGAAGAAAAACGGTGTTTGGCCATGGCCTCAAGGCTTTCAACAGGAGCTCATGCACCGGTGTTCCCAGGCCGTGTGAACCGAAGCACCGCAGCAATCGCTGATCCTAGTCGCTGACAGTCTTGAGCTTCGACGTTAGCCCTGCACCACATTTTCATCTGCACTGTTGCAGCCCTTGCAAGGAATGCGCAAGAAGCGGCCTGGCTGAGATCAAGGTCTTCATGGTGTCCAATGACCCGTCGAACGTTGCGAGATGCAACGGGGTCACACCCTGCCGAGAAAACCATCCGTCCGAGCTTCAACGGTTTCAACGGGCTTCGATTCGACTTGACATATTGATGCACCACTTGCGCTCGTCCACACGCCTTTCGGTCAGAAACATCCACAGTTGCTTGGCAGCGGAGCAACAGCTTTACGAGCTGCTCGTGCTGTGCCTTTGCGCATGAAGATGCAACATCGTCGCCCCTGCATGCTATTTCACTGAAATCCCACTGTTGCTGGGATTTCGCCTGCACTGCCATGTTCAATGCAGGCATTGAGTCCTGCACAGCGAAACTTGCATTTTAGGAAGCGCATCGACCCGGCATTGCTGGCATACCCTCATGCCATCTTGCATCCAGGGGGTGCAGCTTGTCTGCATGGGCATCGCGAAAAGTTTTAACGTGTGCGTCTGCTGTACCCACTGCAATAGTCCTCGGAAGCATTCACATTGGCACCCCGGGCAATGGCATCTTCCACGTCATTCAAACTCTTGGTGTCTTTGATGACCTGGCAAAGCAACTGTCGGGTCAACCTGGTGACCTAGGACCAAAACAACAAAGGCTCTAGCTTCGGCCACGATCGTGGCCAAGTCCATTGTCCCCATGGACTGCCGAGGGAAAAGGCAAGTCGCTTTCGCTTGTCGCAGGATTACCTCGCCGAGAGCTCCTAGATGTACTTCAGGGCTTCGGAACTTGCGAGAGCTAAGTTACCGATTACCGACTGCCGACGTGCGCTCTGAAGCGCAACACCTGCTTCACCCACGCCAACCACAGGGAAATTTACGCATCGGCTGATCTCTTACACAACGGTTCAACAGGCCAGCACCCCACTGCAACAGCGGGTATCTCAGAAGCGAACGAGCACAGGTCTGCAACGTCAATCCGTGCAAGGAACCGCGAGGATCCCTTTCATAGACCCGAGCAGAAAATGGATGCGTGTCGAACGTCTATTCGCATAGTTGGCTCTGCAAACTTGGCAGGATGTGCTCGGACTGAAAATGGTTCGAGCCAAGCACTGCGAGCATGTCATGTGCACATGCCAAATGCGCAATGCAAGCGCCCCCGTCTCTGGATGCTTATGCTGCCGTGCTACATATGCGGGGTGGTGCTAATGCATAAGGAGTTTGGTACTGAAAAAAAGTTTGAAGAAGGCAGCCTTAGCTGCAAGTAGGGCCACATACCAGTCTGCTCAAACTCAACGTGTACAATGACGGCCTTGAACGCGCGGGTTACAGTGTTGCATTTTCATTTTCGGTGACAAGGCATGTCCCGCCGTTCCAGCATGTCACACTGGCAAGGAACCGGAGATTGTCTTTGCGACAGGTGCTGCTGATGGTCACCAAGGGTCAACAGCCCACGGCTTGCACAAACTTGTTTGAGCCTTGGGCTTGTGTCGTCCGTCCGGCAACTTGCCGAGCTTTGTCTGCTTATCACCGCCGTGCACTTCGCAGTCACCTTAGAATTAGTGCTGTTGCTGCGCATACGGCGCGGCGTCGAGAGGATGCACTTGCGGCCGATGACACGCAGCAACATGGCGTCTACTTCGTCCGTCTCCCCAAGGAGCGACGGACTGCGTCTCTGGGCAAGGAGGACCTCTTGGACAGGCTGTTGGTGCTCTTGTTTTTGCGCACATTATTAGCGGGCACCGCTTTTCTGCCAAACCTGGTTTCACGAAGTGGTTGTGGTCACCCCGACCACCAGAGTCCATGATGCCTTCAAGGAAGGACTCGGTCTCAGCAACATCAAGCCGTGCGCCTGGGATGGCGCGGCGTCAAGGGTGGTTGCTGACAATGTTAATTTGGTCCAGTATGTCAGCAAGCATCTGCCGCATCTACCTCGACCGGGTCACTTTCGCAGCTCGGCGGATGCGAAGACATTGCTGCACTTCTTCCGCGAACGACACAATGAGCTCGGTGGCTTCATTGACCTGTTTACGACCACGGTGTGCGCTGGCTCCACGGGTGCTGGGGATGTCTTTGTAGACCACTCACCACCCATGGCGAGGCGGCGCAGCAGCGCCTTTCAGCTGGGGCAATGCGAACCCCTCATATTGTTGCCTTTCCATCGCATTCGTGGGGCATCCTCGCCGCACTTGAACTGCAAGCCGTGCTCTACACCAACACACTGGAATCCATGGCTGGTATCCGTGTGGACTGCAACGGCAGCCGATGGCCGACCGCCTGCTTAAGAAGGATTTTTATGCACGGTGGGCGTCAACTCCGTTCCGACGCTTCTAGAAGCGACTTGTATATTGCGCCATGTGGCGTGCCAGGGCGGCCCTCCCGCTCAGCTCCTGCTGCGCAGTCAAGACAGCACAGCCAGGAGCCGGCATGGACGCGAATGCCGGGTTCGTGAACCCAGGTTTGAAACCCAGGTTCTACCCAGGTTTGGAACCCGGGTTGAGTGAACCAAGGTCCCAAGTTCAAACCCAAGTAAAACCAGGTTCCAAACCCAGGTTTGAAACCCAGGTGCAATTGGAAACCCGGGTTTTTAAACCCAGGTTATAACCCAGGGTTCAAACCCCAGGTTTGGACCCAGTTTAAAGCATCCGGTTTAAACCCAAGTGAAAACCCAGGTTCAAACCCAGGTTAAACCCACAAGGCTTCAAGGCAGGCCTAGGATTGGTTTGAAGAAAGGCTCCGAGCTGTCCACCCAGTCCTTTCGCGAGATCCATGGATATCCGATTGCTGTTGCAAGGCCAAGGAATTGGCCAGACCGAGTTTGGATCTCCCATGCTGGGCGTTGCTTCCATCGCCTGAGGTGCTTCAAGCTTGATGATTGCGATCGCGTGAAATGCTATGGTCGTCGTGATGCCGAAAGCCGCGGATACCGCGCATGCAAGAAGTGCAATCCATGAGAATCGGTGATAAAGCCTCTCTTGAGTGTCGCTTGAAATGCTCTTGATGCGATGTTGCTTTGGTGTCTGCACTTGTCGTGTAGACACCATGGGGCATCTTGTATATACGCTTGTACAATAGTTTGGATTCTCATGTTGCTGGGCCCTGGGCGCTTGACGACTTCTGGCGTTTGGAACCTTGAGCTTGTACCTTGTGGCCTTCTTGTGTGTGCATATGGTGCATTTTGCACCATCAATACTTGTGACGCATGCCATTTTCGCAAACCCGAGACTGTGTGGACTGCTGAGACGTGTTGTGGCGATGATGCAATTTTTTTTTTCCACGCACTTTTTGCGACAATCCGCGACGTGGTCCCAGTGCAGCAGGCCCAAACCCAAGGCGACGTCCTACGGCGTCAAGTCCAGGCTTGCAGGCACGGCAAGGCGCTGTCAAGGGCGCGGTGGCAGACGGCTGGCAAGGGGCGGGGTCTCTCGAAGCGAGTCGAAGAAAGAACCTCGCTGAGCAGCGGTTGGTCGCCGTCGACATTGGCAGTGCCGGCAAGGGAAAGACCAAGCAGACTGGCACCGAAGGCTCTGGCGGCAGAACGGCAAGCAGGGCAGACCATCGGGAGGTGAAGGCTGCGATGGTTGCAGGTCGCAGCGGGCAAGAAACGGCGCGGGCCCGGCAGCGAGCGAGGAGGCGGACAAACTGGGCAGCCTCTGAGCTCCAGCGGCCTCCGACCTCGAGTGCAAGGACAACGAGCCTGCACCTTTGCGAGCGCAGTAGCTCGGGGTAGGTGCGTTCCTCGGCGCGCAGCTCCACTGGCATCGAGAGGCGACGCAAGGGTGGTGTCGACAGCAAGCTGTGCTCCGCCCCAAAGCGGGAGTCCATTTGTGATGCATTCCGCCACTCCTGAACCTTAATTAGGAAGTTCTAATCATGTTAGTCGTGGATATAGTCCGTCGGCTGTTTTGCGTACAGGGCAAACACCTTCTTCATTATCAAATCGTGTTTGCATGATCCCGCATGAATCGTGCTTTCCTCACCTTTGCGCCCTGCTGCAAGTCAGGTTTTCTTCACTTCTGTTGAGCGCTGTCAGGTTCGCTTGCCTGAGTCAAGTTTGCAACAACAGGAGCACACTGCTACGGCGAGTGCGTTTCTGTTTCCGTAGGCAGCTGGCGCCGCTGCACCCGTAGGGTAGCAGGCAGCTGCAGCCAGTTCAAGCCAAAGACCTTTCGGCAGTGCTTGTGAGCAGAAGTGCATGTTCGTGGGAGCAATAACAACTAGTTACCTTGTTTTCGTACTCGACATACCGGCCCTGGCGTAGCTTTGAGCTTCCGTACAGTGTGGCTTTGAAGTCGCAAAGTTGTGTGAAAGCATTAGCCTTAGTTGGACTTCGGCATGCTTTGGGCGGGGTGCAACACTTTGCACACCTTGTACTCGTACAGTATGTGCATGTATTTTCCATTTGTTTTCCTGGCCGGTATTTGTGTATGCATTTGTTTTACTTGGAAAGCTCCCAATTCGTTTGAGCCCAATGTGCTGACTTCGCTACTCCGCAGGCGCTTGTGTTTGAGTGAAAATTAGCACCCAACCCCAACCCAGTTGGCATGGAGTTTACCCGAACCCTTACGTCGACGCCAGGGTTCCGGTTCGGGTTAACCCGAACCCCAGCTTCAGGTTAAGACTTGGGGTTAACCCGGACCCACGGGGTTGGGGTTGGGGTTTTCCCCGAACCCTAGCTGAGGTTAGTGTTGGGGGTTAGCCCAAACGCACAACCTCAAGTTGAGGTTGTTGGACCCCCTCCCCTCCTTCGACCCGGCCCCGGGATTACAACCTGGGTTCAACCCCAACCCCCAACCCACCATTGCGGGGTATGCTCAGTTTGTTAGTCCCATCCATCCCAACCTGTATTATTCGCCGGTGAAGCGTCAGTTAAGCTACGGGTGTGGACCGTCCCCGGAATGGGGTTCGGCTCTTGGCTCGCTGATAAGGCGCGATCTGGACATTCAAAGTGGGACCATCTCGCTGATTGTTGTTTTCGGACAGATGTTGGGTTATCATGTATATATAAATGAACGCTTTGCGATTTGCCCAATTGCCCTTTTTTTGAACCCAGGCTCTGCTCCATCATCAGCTGGGAATCGACAGCCAACATGACTACTGCATGTCAGCAAAGCGTCGCAACCAGTCCACCTCTTTAGTTTCAAAGGCGGAGAAACTGAGAAGTACACTATGCGTCTTCCACAAGTCTTGCTTGACATCGGGAATGTGACTCAAGATACAGTCAATGTACAAAGGCTGTGCACACACATCTATCGCCCACACACTTGGCTTCAGCATCTTAAGATGAGGAATGACGCAATGCCAGTCGTCGCATCGTAGCTTGCAAGCTCCTTCAGCCCTATCTAGCCAAACAACCCACCAGCTGGCTTGCCACTTCAGGATCGCTACCACCATGAGCCATGGAGCAAGCGCATTGAATCCCTGCTTAAGAGAACTCCACGCGTAGGAGTGCTCGTAAACAACAGGGTCGACGAACATCCGTGAGACATGCATGTCCCAGGCAGTTCTCCAAGTATCCCTGTCAGCAGCAAGCTCTCGCAGCAACGGTAGACTAGGTAAAGGCACAGATATCCACCCCAAATAAAGCAGCACATCTGTGAGCCAGGAGTATAACGTGTTCCAGGGTCCAGCGACTGTCATCTTATGCATCTGAAACATGCCACCCGAAACAAGAAGGAGTTGAATGCTGTTGGCAGGTTTTCGCAACAGATGCCCTAGGAAGTGCCATCGTCTACGCATTGCTGCGAGCGTCCATTGCCCTTTTGCTTTGCAAACTCTTATAGCCTTTGCTACATGCTGCCGCCGGCTGTTTCACTCACGGGGCGCTGTAGAAGCTTGGCACACACGACCACAAGTCGGAACTGAGTTAGTGCTCGCACGATGGTTTATGTTGCTGCGGAGTTTTAGTGTGTGAGACAAGGGTGGGGCGGCAAATGCCTCGAAAAGCCCTCTCGTGCACAAGAGATCGTTTTGCTGCAATGTGATGAGTGTGCGAGTCTCAGCTTCGCATGAGATTTTCATGTGAAGCCTTTTTCAAGCTCTCAAACGGGGTGAGGTAAGTCGTTAGACAGCTCATTGCCATGAGAGTTGCCGGCAGCACTCGCGCTGCCTTACGTCAAGTTCTGCTAAGCCGGGATTTGGCGGACCAAACCGATGCAGTGCTCGACAGAGCCGTACGACTTGCCAGGCAAGAAGTGGGAAGGAGGCGGCCCACCAATCTCGAAGAAGAGCGTTCCGCTTTCTCAGCTGCACTCAGCGGGCTTGGAGGCTTGACGCAGCCATACGAGATTGATTGGGAAGTCGAAGATTTCAGCTCGCTGATGTGGGAATTGTGGTCAAGTGCGACCCAGGGCACTCAGTCAGCGACGCGTCTTCCATGCTTGTCAGAAGACGAAGAGGCCTGGCAAGAGTCATGTGCAGAGTTGCTGGAAGCATTGCGAGCAAGCCAGACTTGGCCGCTGGCTAAATGGCGTTTGAGAGCTGTCGGGATATGCTGGTTGTTGGCAGTTTTGTGCATCGCTGCCATCCAATACGGGACGTGGACTGGTCGCCAGCGACTCGGCTTGGTGCGCGGCATTGGAATGTTTCCGCTGTTCGGTGAGCTGTTGCGCAAATATACTTTCGACACTACCGACTTGCAGTTCACCCAGCCGAGCAGGCGCACTGAAGATGTCGCTGGCGATCCGAGTGCAGGAGATATAATGCCACAGCATGGGACCAGCGACGTTGGCGCTGATGGGACAGCCCCTACGGAGTTGATGCAGTCACTCAGTGCCTTAGCGCAGGTTCCTGTCCCGTCGGCTCGACTTCCTGCGGCTTCCACGGTTCGCTGGCGCCCTGCCCTAGGTCAGGCCGTAATCGTGACTGACACGCCTCCGTACCAAGACTTCAAAGATGAATTGGGTGCAGTTGTCTCTGTGCATAATTCCGGCCTCGTGGACATTGCATTGTGCAGTGGTGCGATGCTGTACCAGGTCCCGGGCACATCTTTGAAGGTTGCACAGCTCCGCGGTGATGAGCCCGAATGCGAACAGCTAGCGCGGCTCAGCTCCATGGCTTTGGAATCCGCACCGGGCAAGGGGGCGTCCTTGTCAGAAATTGACAGTAAGCACGCCACGTATGCTCCGCTTTCCATGGCTGCCATTGAAGCCACTCAATCACAAGCACGAGTTGTGAAGAACTTATTGGTCAAGTGGTCGGCTCGTTCGGCCCTCATTCCAAGTTGGTCGCGTAGCTTCTGGAAGGAAGTCGGTGAGCAAGGCAAGTTCGAAAATCGTGTGGAGGCGTTACTCAAGTCCTTCGGTTATCTCGGAAATGGAAGCGGAACACCTCCGCGCGTCGCGGAGCTGAAGGAAAAGCTTGCGGAGCTTGAGAGCAGTGGTGCGTTGGCTCATTCCACAGGTCTGTTTGACAATGGTTTGCTGGATGCACACGACACAGAGATAGATGAGGAGGATGCCGGAGGTTGGGAGGCCAGTCTCCCGCCAGACATGAAACGGGCAGGACCAGAAATCTATGCGTCTTTTCGTGCTTCCGGAGCCCGAAGTGCCAGGGAGTGGCTCAATCAGATGATTCCGCTTGATCGTCGAGGAGATGCGCTATATTTGGACCTCTTCAATCAAGCTTCGTTGGTGGACTTCGCCGTGAAGGATGCGAAGGGCTCCCAAGCTCAAGCATTATCTCTGATTGCTCGCAGCGATACTGCGGAAGTGGCTCTGAGGAGACTGGCATCGTATGCGCATGAGAAAAGAACCGGTGATCGTGATGCGGCAGTGTCCATGCTCGCCATCAAACCTACCAACCTATCTCATGACATTGCTCCGGCATGGCTGGTGTCAGAGGCTGCTTTATTTGCTCAGAGTGAGCATAAGAGGCGTGAGCGGGCCAAAGCGCAACGAGGCGATGCTAAGGGCACCAGTGGTCAAGCAAAAGGCTCATCGAAAGGAGGTGGTCGGGGGCGAGGTGACAAACGCCCCAAAGGCGGCAAAGCGCCGTCTACAGCCACTCAAGGTTGAAGTGATGGTGGCCCTCTTGGGGCCGCTGTCCGCTCCAGGAGGGTGACACCACCCGCTACTTGTAGCACACAGACAGCCTTTTCTCCCGCTGATGGTGAAGTGTTTCCGTTGCCGTTGCTTCCGCCACCCGCGATCCCAGCCTCGACCTCAGCACGATCGCGCAACAGGTATACTAAGAAGTTGCGGCTTTGGAAGTACGCAGTCGGTTTGATTCATTTCTTGAATTTCATGCATGTGGGCACCAATAGACACACCAAGAAGCTTTATGGGGCAGCGCTGGTTGATGAACCGAACCAGGCCCAGAAAGCTGTGTGGAGACATTTGCTTCATGTTAGCAAAGATGGTCTCCGGGTCCGCCGGGAGGTCCCTCCGACAGGCGGCCAGCCGGCCGTCGCGGCGCTCGTCAAATCCGCGAAGGTGGATGCGATGGGTTATGCGACGGTTTCCAAGACGCATGCCCAAGTGCCCATGGACGCTTCTCGCATTGTTGAGCCGTCGGATGAACAAGTAGCCGACATGTTGCAAGCACTTCCGCAGGATGAACGTGAATTTTATGCACGCGAGAAGAACGTCGTCGAACTTCTGGGTAAAAGTACTGTCATTCAACAGGAACTGGAACAGCAGTATGCTTTCGTTGGTGGTAGCCTCGATGAGTACCTGAAGTATTTTCATCGGCAGGACATTCCAACAAACATGTGGGAGTGGAAGCGCTTCCGTGATGTGAAAGCAGTCGCTGGCTTTTCGGTGGTTCCCAAGAAAGATGGGCGTTCTCAGCGCAAGTTGCTTATGTGCTGTTCGTTCAATTATTTGCTCTGCGACCCTCGAAATCGTTCTTCTCTAGGGATGCAAGGGGCTGGAGCCCTGACTCGCATACATGTGGCTGCAGGCGACAAGTTAGAGCTGGCGGCTTGCGATCAGTCAAATGCGTTCACACGGGTTGCAGTGCCCGCTTGGATGATTCCGTATCTAGCCGTTCCCCCCCTATCACTGCTGGGTCGGTCTGGGGATTGCTGCCTGACAGCCTAAAGGCGACCATCAGTGAATTTGACTTGGTATCTCCATGTTACAAACGGTTACCGATGGGCTGTAGCCATTATGTTCACATTCTAATGATGATCAACCTGCAGGTCATAGGGCGGTCTCTGCGAGCGAATGCCTCGATGGGGACAGGCCAAGATGACATTCCGCATGTAGAAGAGCCAAGTACAGCGGTTGAAACATCAGGGTGTGAGTATTCGTTTTATGGCTGCAGTGATGATGAATGGTGGTCTCGCTTTCAGGTTGGAGTCCGACCGCGTTTCGACTCGGGCTACTCCGTGCAGGAGTGGTGGGATGCAATCCGCGCAGCGCGTTCATCCAGCGACCGCACGATTGTTGTCATGAACTTCTTCGGAGGGGAACGCAGAGACGGTGACGTGCAGGAATATGTCGAAAAGCTCGCCGCTGAGGCAAACCTCAAAGTGTTGATGATCACAGTTGACCTTGGTTGTGACTCTCGTTGGGATGTTGCGCAGCCGGAAACCTTTCATGACATCATGCGTATGCTGGAAGGCTATGTTGACATCATCGTCGGGGGTCCGCCATGCTCGACGGTGTCTCGAGCCAGGCATCGCCGCGGAGGCGAGGCACTCAACCTTCCAAGACCGTTGCGCTTCCGTTCATGCCCATGGGGACGCACAGGCCTCACTACCGCTGAATCTGGAAGACTCCGTGAGGCCAACCGGTTATGGTTACATTTCATGATGGCGTGCGAGAAGGTATCCGCGCGAGGAGGTTGCCATTTGTTTGAACATCCTGAAGACCCAGGGAGTGAGCCCTTCCCTTCCATTTGGATCACCCCAGAGATGATCCAATTGGAATTGCGTACGAAAGCACAGCGAGTCACTTTTGATCAGTGCGCTTGTGGGGCGCCAGTCAGGAAGGGTACAACTGTGTCAGGAACACTGGACGGCATTGGCGAGTTCGAGCGGTTTCAATGTCCCGGCGTTGGTCCAGAGCACTTTCATGCACGGCATGCTACAGGGCTTGATGAGCACGGCTCTTTTCGGACAAAGCGGCTTCAAGCGTACCCGCCAGCCATGTGTGAACTTCTGGCCAGGTGCATCGTGAAGAGTGCTCAGCGTATGGTGGCAGAAGGCTCGGGCCCCACTGGTTACTTACTTCCGGTGGGGGTCCAAGCAGTTCCGACAGCTTGGTCCTTCTCACATTCGCAGATGCATTCGGCGGGAGTTGACATTCTCAATGAACAGGTGGTTCATGGACGGCGCACACTGCTTTCCTCCACACAGGCAGGTGTTTATTTACACGTGGATGACACATTAGCGTTCAGCACGGAGTCATGTAGGTTGTCAGCTTCGAACATGATGCACACCGTGGCCGATTCCATGGAGGAGATTGGTTTTGTAGTGCTGGAAAGAATACCGCCCAATGAAGTGGTCAAGGTGATCGGGTACGCATGGTCGCCAAGTACAAGCACATTCAGCTTGCCTCCGAGAAAGAGGGTTTTACTACAGCGAGCTTTGCGAGCGTTGGCAGGGCAACGTCGTGTTGAGGTTTCTGCCCTTCGAGCCGTGATTGGTCTTTGGTCTTTCGGAGCACAGCTGAGGCGCGACCTGTACGCAGTCCCCTTCATAGTATACAACTTCATTGACAAATTTGATGGCTTAACGGTCAGGCTTTGGCCGTCGGTACGCCAAGAACTCATACACATGGCCACTGCAGTTGATTTCATGTTTTTGAATGTGAGCATGCCATTTTCTTTGGAAGTTCTAGCAACGGATGCCATGGGACACAATGAAATTGACCATGGGGGTTTCGGCATTTGCGTGACCAAGGTTGATGAATCTGAGTTAGCAGCACTTCGGGCAAACTCAGAGCAGCTGGGGCTCGCATTGAACTTACATGACGATGTGACTGATGGTATGCCCTTTCCTGACAGAGCATTAACTCCTACAATCCCGTTCTCGTTGCTTCCAGCTGTTTTATTTTCCGAATCCAGATGGACTGTGGTTTTGAAAGGTCGGTGGAAGGCCCCCGACCACATTAGCATTGGCGAGACGCGAGCAGTATGGAAAGCTCTTCGTTGGGCCATTTCCGATCCCGCACGTCATGGCACAATTTGGTATTCACTGCAAGACAATATGGTGTGTTAAGCTGTGCTTACTAGAGGAAGGTCTTCTTCGTGGGGCCTTAACGTGTACTGTAGGAAGAAAGCTGCTTTATGTTTGGCATCGCAGATTCGCTTGTTGTTGCCTTGGGTACAAACATCCATTATGCCCGCGGACTGCGCTTCAAGGAATCAAGAATGAGTGGAGGTCAATTTGCTTTCGCATGCCTCCCTCCACACCATATTGCTTCAGTCAAGGCGTCTACATACAACAGTTATCAGCAGTGCTTGCAGCGATTTGTGATTTTCCTTCTCGACTCGGGTGCAAATCCAGCTTCGGCTGCAGAACTGGACCTCCTGATTTTGCAGTATAAGTCTTCCAACCACCTGTCGCATTCAAAACTGGAGCAGTTGATCGCGGCGTTGGAGTTCCATTTATTGCCTCTCAAAGGGCTGCTTCCGTACTCCAAGCGCGCTGCCAAGGGCTTGTGCCGAGTAACCCCGATCAGACACACGTCGCCCTTGCTTTCAGGCCCAGCAAAACTGTTTGCAGTGCACTTTGTGGCAGTTGGATTTCCTTGCTTGGGAGTGGGCCTTGTGGTACAGTGCCTCACAGGTCTACGCCCTAGTGAATTACTCAGGCTGCATGAACAGGATGTCTTACGGCCTTCTGCATCGTGCCCTAAATTCATATTTCGTTTGGGAGTGGGATTGGGCACTAAAGTTCGGCGTGAGCAAATTGCGTCTTTTGAGTGTGCACGCGATCCTGTGGTGGCTGGTGTACTTTGGCAGTTGTTGCAACAAGTGGAGCCACAGTCTGCTTTGTTCCAGTTTCATATGCGCAGTATCGCCAACTCCTGGCCCAAGTGGGGAAGCACTTGGGGCTGGAAGTTCATTTCACTCCGCATTCTCCTCGCGCAGGTTTTGCGACTGAGGAATACTCCAGGGATTGCCACGTTGCGGACATTCGACAAAGGGGACGGTGGGCATCCGAACAGTCGTTCAAAACCTACCTCGACGTCGTGTCGGCCACCCACGTGCAACCAGCTTTCCATTTGCGAGGCGTGGGGCGAGCCCAGGCCTACAGTGAGACGCATTTTGCTGATTTCTTTCCTTCTGGAGTTTTCCGGTCGCGAGATGGCTGAGCAAGTGTTGGATTTTGACGGCTTCGAAATCCCAGCTGTCCCGACGCTTCAAGGTTTTCCACAGGCTATGCTCCTTCCCTCACGTCGCGGACGGCATGCCCAACCACCTATTCGTCATACCAGGGCACGGACGCCCGGGGCTAACAAACTCAGGCAAACTTCGCAGCGACCATCCTCGGCGAGGCGTGTCACATCCTCTCATGAGGCACCTACGGCAACACGTCGTCTTCGTCCTCACCGAGCGCTATTGCGCTCTCGCCTGGGTCGGTGGTGGACGCAGCTTTCAAGGTTCAGCAGGCATAGTGCTTTCTGGATCTGTACGCTGCTTCTTCTGGCTCAGTGCTTTCAGTGGAGCTTCTTCGAACAGCTAACTCGCTTGTTGGCTTCCGTGGCTTTGGTCTCGGAGCGGGCCTCGGTAGCAGCAGCAGGGGTCTTGGATCATGGCGCCGAGCTGGCCTCCACCACTTCTTCAGCGGTTATTGCCTTCACCACTGGTTCGCTGGACCTCATGCGCACCGCGTGGCTTGGCGTGGATCTTTTGGACCTCCGCTGCACTTCCACGGAAGGCTCGGTCATGGGTGCTCATGGCTCGGTGTTGGCGGATTGGCTCAACTCTTCGAGCGGGCATGCCGCCACACGAACCAACCGCTCCGAGGTGCTCGTTCTGTGGGCTTCACTGGTTACTTCTGTCGGCGTTGCGCTTCCACATATCGCGTCAACGGTTTCAAATTTGGAAGTGGATGGCCTGTTTTGGTCGGTTCGGCTTACGTGCTGCCCAACGGGTACCTTATGTTCGCATTCCGGTACGTTGAGGTGTGATTTGTGCCCCGGTGGAGCCCTCAACGTGGAAATCACGGCGCAACATGATCAAATCCAACGCCTGGTCACTAACGTCAGCGCCTCCTTGCCGGCTACATCCCATCCCTTTGCCAGCGCGTCGTGGATGCATCCGTCCATGCGGCTTTGGTTATATTCTCAAGTATTCCTCCGCGCCGTGATGCTACACTTTCGGACCTTGCTGACTGTGTTGGCCACCTTACGGGGATGTGGGCTCATGGTGGTGCTTCTTGCGGGCACGGGAGGTCTTCTCTTTCGAGCGCATTGCAGTTTTCAGTCAGTGTGGCGGTCATGGACTGTCATGGGCCCGAGGGGGTTCCTGGCAGTATGGCGGTCATTCATCAGTGCGTGTCAGACTCTTCGATGAAGGAGGTGGGATGTCTTGGGCGCAAGCCTCTCATATAGTGGGGGCTTGCGATATTAGCACCGCCACACTATGCAGTAGTGTGTGTGGGTGTATTCGGCTGCAATGACAGTCACTTGGATCAACCATGTCTTGCCCATCTGTTGAAAGAGACTGGCATACAGATGCTTGTTCACTGATGTTGTCACCATGAACCCCACGAATTCTTTTACGGATTTTGACATGAAAATCTCTTCACATTGGGACGGGAGCTGTACTGAGCGCCTACGGAGTGATTTAGTCGCATAATGAGTTAGTGCTCGCACGATGGTTTATGTTGCTGCGGAGTTTTAGTGTGTGAGACAAGCTGCCCAAATGCCTCGAAAAGCCCTCTCGTGCACAAGAGATCGTTTTGCTGCAATGTGATGAGTGTGCGAGTCTCAGCCTCGCATGAGATTTTCATGTGAAGCCTTTTTCAAGCTCTCCCCGCCCACCCGCCGCGGGGGATGTCTTGGGCGCAAGCCTCTCATATAGTGGGGGCTTGCGATATTAGCACCGCCACACTATGCAGTAGTGTGTGTGGGTGTATGCGGCTGCAATGACAGTCACTTGGATCAACCATGTCTTGCCCATCTGTTGAAAGAGACTGGCATACAGATGCTTGTTCACTGATGTTGTCACCATGAACCCCACGAATTCTTTTACGGATTATGACATGAAAATCTCTTCACATTGGGACGGGAGCTGTACTGAGCGCCTACGGAGTGATTTAGTCGCATAAGCGCTTTTCGCGGAGCTCGCGATTGCGTTACGTCGGGCTCCTGGCGTCCGTCTCATGCGGTGTTGCCGCCGATTGCGAACCACGCGAAACAGCTGCGCTGGCCCAAGACGTTGCCAGTGCCACGGAGCAACTTTTCCGCGCTGCCGGCGGATGCCCCGTTGCCACTGTCGGCGGGTGACGGCCTCAGCGGTCCAGCTCAGTCCGCTTTGCTCGAGGCTGAGGGTGGCGGAGCCCTCGCAGCGGACGTGCAATCGCTCGCGCAAGATGCGCGCTCCAGCTTTGCACCGAGGCTAGACTGAAAACCAGCCACGGTCACAAAAAAGCACGCCGCCACCACCGGCAGGCCCAACATTCACAGGCGGACAACACCACAGCTGCGGAGTCGGAGTCGGGTGCGGTTCCGTACATGCCCGCGGCCCCCGCACAACAGAGGCGAGACCAGCTCGGGCAGCGCTGGACGAGGTCGATCTGACGTTAGAGCTCCGCCATCATGTGCCGACACAGCACAAGACGCGCCAGTTTTCCTACGAGCAGCCGTTTGCGGTGGCCCGGCGAAGGCTCCAACATGCGCTAACTCACTTGCACGCGGTGCTCGTGGCGCCCCGAACACCAGGGCACGCAATGCCGGGCGATATCCCTGGCTATGGCGCAAGCGTTCTCACGCGGGGGGTGGCCCCAGCTGCTTGCAGCCGCGCGGGCCACAGGCTGCGTCTCGAAACCTTGCCCGAATCTGCCCGAGCTCAGCGCTCAGGTGTTAGCGGAGCAAAAGCGCGGACACTACTGTGCTAAAGTCCGCCAAGCTGAAGTTTCACGCGCCAGGCACGTGTTCACGGTGGTGGAGCTAGCTCCGGGCACTGAGGCCGGCACTGACCGACCCATCCTCTGTCCACGCGCAGTGGCCGGTCCACGAGGCTCGTCAAGGGGGGCAGCTGGGCGTTCACCGTTTGTGTCTAGCGAGAGACGACCGTGGCGTCGCAAAACAAAGTTCCGCCACTGCGACCAATTCGAACCGGCCGCCTCCATGCCAAGCGCCGTGGTGTGGACCAGCCATCGTACCCTTCCGCACCGCCGAAACTGCGAGGCTGCTTGGGAACAACCTTCACACCGCGATTTGCAAGCGGAGATTGCGCACGAGAAGCACCTAATTCTACAACTATACAAGCACTGCGGCAAAAAGCCGCAAGCCCCGATGTCAGTGCAGAAGCCAGCCAACGAGCACGCGAAGGTAGTCTTCAAGTGCTTACTGTTTACTGTGCCAGCCCAATCCGCCATGCACGGCAGGCAAGGTGGCGATGGACCAGGCGTGGTGCGAATCAGCCCCGAAAAAACCACCCAAACAGAACCATAAAGGGCTCGAGCGGCCTTGGCACGACCGGAGCTGTCGCAGCATTCGCAGCCCACTGTGGCATCGCGTCCAACCTCGGCAAGACCCGGGTTGATGCCACCGAGGCATGCCCCACCCCCGGGCATATCGGAACTGCATGGGCGACGAGGTATGGCCGGCTGGAAGAGGCGTCGTCGTCCTCGGCACACCCATCGGGCACCCCGACTTCGCGAGCCAGTGGGGGGAACGCATGTCGGAGCAACGCGGGTTTCAGCATTGCTCCCACGCCTGCAGTGCAGTTGGCCATGGCTCTGCATGTGCGCGGCCCCCCTTGGGCGAATCATGCGCTTCGCACGTCGCCTCCGTCCGAATCGCGATGTTACTCGCAAGCACACGGTGCGCGCATCTGGGAGACGCTCGGGCCCCGTGACAATGTAAAAGCCGTGTAGGGAAGCCATATGGGCATCGTCGGGATGCAGCGCGGCTGTGTTCAGCGGAGAGCCTCGTGTTGCGAACAGTGCCGGGGCGAGAGCATCGCCTTGTTCGCAGCCTTCGCTTTGCGGCACGTCCTGGATGCCGCCATCAGGATGCCGGTAACACAGCGTAACGAACGGGAGCCGCTCCGGTGCAACTTCGCGCAACTTGCATACAATCGTACGTACGGCGGCCATCGAGCGAGACAACAAGCACGGCATCAAGGCGGAAGGACGGCGCTGGCCGGTTGCGCCCTGGACTCTCGGAAGGGTTTTGGCTGGGTTGAAAATCGGTGGGGGCCGAAAACGATACTTTGAACGAAAAAGCAAAGCCAAACCTCCAGAACTCATGTTGCGTACGACTTGCAAAAGGAACTGCTCAAGAAAGTTTGAATCACCATGGACAGCGCAGACTTCATGTAAAAAAGAGGCAAAAACCAGAGTGTCCTGAGATGGCTATGCTGTTCAGCTTGAAAGCATTGCAAAGGCGCTTTTGTCCTGTTAAAAGAATTACTGTGCAAAGGTTGTGCTACGTTTTCCATCATGCAATAGATTCTCGTTCGAAAACGTGACAGACATGCCCAATCGCTGCTCTGCCGGATGTGCTGCAAAGGACGCTCGCAAAACCGTGCACGAGAGTTTATCTTAAAAAAATTGGCCCCCGTACATTATGGATTTCAGAAGTCTCTGGTCTTCCCGGGCCATTTTTGCTTGACATGCCAAGTAACTGTAAGAAGGGAATGGATGCTTGCACAAACTCGCACCTGTTTAACTGTTTGGACATAACGAAGATTTGACAAATCAGAATCAACACCGGTGCTGAGTTCTCGGTTACGATCACGGTGACAAAGTTTCAACGCGATGAGTTGCTGCCATTCCGCGACCAAAAATTGGTCGAGGTTTCCGGCCTCCCCTAATGCAACAGCAAAATGTGTTGCAAGCAAGCATACGAGCTGAGACGGGGACTTAGACCCTACAATGTGTCACACCAAGAGATTCTCGAACGAGACTTGTAAGCAGACACTGCAAATTTGAACCTGTCAGAGGCAACATGACAAAAGCAACACAGTGACTTCCCAATCTTGCAACATGCTCCAATGAATCATCAGAGCAATTCGTCCTGCTGGTCGTACTGATTCTCAACCAGCACAAGCTATGAGATACACAGAACCATGCATTCACTGGGCATCTTGGCCTTCCCGTCTCAGGCCTAAGCAATTCTAGCTTTGCACACCTGGCTTGCGCCAGCTTATTCAGAACTTTAGTACGCCGATCTGCCCTAGCCTACACTCCGCTTCATTTGTGTCATGTTACAAAAAATAACTTCCTGCTGCTAAGGCATCACAAAGCGTCCTCCACTACTCCTAGATTTAGACCCCGTCCAATGCCTCCCACACTTCCCAGCCTCTCTCTTCCAGGCTCTGCCAATCCCTCCCAGCCCCCAGCACCTCCCAGTGTCTCCCACTACAATCCAGGCCGGCAGGCCCTGACCTTAGTGAAAATTGGGGCTGCGTTTCCTGGCGGGGAGTCCCGCCAGACTGAGTTGCACAACAGAGCGTTTCATGGCGCGGTTGGCCTTTTTCGCTGGATTCCATTCAATTTCACTTTTTGTGCAGGTTTGTGTGGTTTTTGCTCCTTTCTGCTGCATTTTTGCATCTTCAGCACATTTTTGTATGTTTTAAAGGCTGTTTTGGGTGAGATTCCGGTGGGTTGGGTTCCGGTGGGTTCCGGTGGGCTCCGGTGGGCTCCGATTCTCACCTGAAACTCTGCCAAATTTGCCACTTTTCCGGTGGGAATCCACTCCCTGAACCAAGCCCGGGTAACCAATTCTCACCTGAAAATCACCAAATGTTGCTGGTTTTCCGGTGGGAATGCTTCTCGAAGCTATTATGCGTTGGCAAAATGATACTTCAGAGCAAATCCAAGCATGGATTCCGGTGGTTGGGTTCCAAGGCGCTTTGGGGCTTGCCCAGGCCCACCTGAATGGCCTGCTTACAAGGTCAATTTTCCACCAAACACCTGCAAAAGTTCAATTTGCTTGAGTTTGCTTCAAAAATGGCCAAAATTTGTCTAAATGGCAGAATTCAGTTGGAACTTGTTGGAATTGCAATTTTCTGGCTGCCAACGCCAAACGGATCAGACAGGAGCACCTCTCCATAAAATCTGCTGGTTTACCGATCTTTGTGTTCCGTTTCACTGGGGCCAGGGCACCGTTGCTGAGTGCTCAGTTTTGAGGGCAGAAACTAAACACACTCAAAAGAACAAGGCTCAGGCTCGCTTCAAATTGCTGTTAGCGTGCAGCTGCAAAGGGAACAGAAACCACGTTTTGAGACTCATAACTGACTCATAACTGCTGACATTGATTCGATGCGAACTTTTGCAACCGCCAGCATAACAACGCATTGTTTATGCTACCACGTGGAAAGTGACGGCAGAATTGTGCTGTGAGAGCCAAATCTACATGCACTGAACTAACTTACTTCCATTTTCTCTTGCAGTCGGCAGTCTATCATGCCTATAACCTAAGTATCTCATTTCAAGCTTCAAAAAACTTCAAGACGCAAGATTCAAGACTTCAGGATTCAAGACTTCCAAAAATTCAAGACTTCAGCCTCACGAGTTCTGGAATTGGGGGTTCACGATCAAAATCAAGACTTCATGATTCATATTCATTCCATGAGTCTTTGAATTCATTCGACGTTTTGATTTGTTTCAACAGAACTAAAACACATCGGGCGTCAGAAGCTGGAGCCGAAGCACCAGGCGGACCAGGAGGGAGTCACAAGGAGTTGGAGGGAGTGACTCGCGCCACCGTGCAGTTTCGTCGTTCGTAAATGATAGACTCTGATTATGATTATCTGATTATTTGATTGACAATTGACAATGTAAGTAATAAAAAATATGTAAAATGACATAATATGCTCGGTAACATTTGTCGAAAAAACGAAAAAGTCAAAGATCATGGCATCATGGCAACGGAGGAGTCATGACAATCCTAAATCGTGACAAGCAATGAGAGAACCTACAAAACAATCAAACACTTGTAAAATTGTTGATAAAACTTGAATTTTGACATCTTGAAATCATGATCATGAAAAGAATCTTTCTTCCAAGTACTTCCTGAGCCATCGATTCATTGAGCCCTTTCTTTCTGACTCCACGGCCTAAGCCCTCGTCGCAGGCTGAAACTTTGGAAACTTTTACTTTTAACTAGCTTTTGCTTCACACACAAACGAACTCCAAATACAATCTTTTTTGCACAGCCAAACTTTTACAAACTCCAAAACAGCACTTTACAGCAGCGCGTTTCCAGCTCCATTCCAAATCTTGGATTTGTGTCCAAGCTGCACAACCATAAGAACAAAACTTTTTCTAAGCAGAAAATGCCATTTTCAACAGTTCCACTTTGAGTTGCAGTGAATTGACCCTGCTCCAAGAAGGCGAAAGCACTGGGTGCAACCACCAGACGGCGCGGCGCGCGCGCAGGCGGCGAAAGCTTCCGAAAAACGTTGCCCGTGCACTGTCATCGGGTTTGCGCAAAGCCGTCAGCCGCGCCATGGCCAACTAAGCAACGATATCTGCAGGGATATTGGCTTGCACATGTCTTGTGTCGGTGAGCAAATCAAGAGCCTCCAGATCCGCAGCAACGGTTGATAGCACGCACTGAGAGTGACCGAGCGCAAGAAACTTACCACACCACATCTACTCAACGCCTTTTTGCGACGGGCCGCAACTAGCTCGTCGTGTTGGACTCGGCGTCCGCCTGCACTGCAGGCAAGGCACTGGTGGAGCACGTTGTTCGTGACGGTGCAGCATGCTAGCACGGCATTGGGCGGTGTTTGGATGCATGCACTGCAATCAAGCTTGCGCGGAGCCATGCTCGACTACGATTCCACCGGCCAGAGCAGCCAGCCATTGAGGCGCTAACGCTTGATAGTCCGAAGGTCGTCCGGTTATAGAATGTTGCGACCGTAGTTAACGTAGTGGAAAGAAACTGCACCTGATTTATCGTCGAAATCTTGATGCAGAGCGCGAGTCCGTCACGAAAAAGGCCTGAAGCAGTTCTCTAGCAAGTCGCACGGCCTTGTCGAGCATGTTAACGACTTACCCTTCAAACACTCAAACTCCACAACATAAACCATGGTGCAAGTACTAGCTAACCGCTGTTGCAGTTGGCAGCTCTGATCAACAAAGCTGGCTGTTGCTGGCTTCAGGCTCGACGCGCTTTTGGCATTCCATACCGGTGACTTCAGAGAAGTTAGCCAGGCTGGCGAGAGATCCCCAAGGAGCTTGCCCGGCCCCGCCGGAGCACATTGGCGGCCTGGCCACATGGCTGGCAGTTTATGCACCACAGCTTGATGCTGCCCGCAATGACGCTGGATGCCCAGATGCTAGCACACAGGGTCGTGGCTTGCCGCCAACCCGCCGAGAGCCAGCAACGACGTTTGCGCTCCAAGCCATGCAGCTGGCGCTCCGCCGCCGCCTACGCATACTACGCGCTCGCTTGCCCGCCTTGCTCGCTCGACGCGCTGAGGTAGTCGAGACGGAAGCCGTTAAAACCCAAACGCGCCTTGAGGCACACTTCTAGGTTTAGTAAAAGGAGGTGCAAGCCGACTGACTGACTACGTCACGCAAGGCTACAGCAGTGAAAGCTAACAGCACTTTTACACCTTTCGTCGCAACCAACTGTTCACCACGCGCTTGTCACGCAGTGCAAGTCTTGAGCCATGAGCCAAGTGAAACGGGGCGCGGACAGAGACTTCAGCACACTCACTTCCGAGGTAAGTCCTAAGGACTCCTAACGGCTTCTCTGCACTGGCAACTCTGCTGCACGGCCCAGGTGTTCCCCGGACTTCGTCTAGAAGTCCGCTCTCACAGCAAACAAACTGACAACACTCTGATGTTCATCATGCTTCAGGAAAGTTCAGGGAAACACCATTCTTCGTGAAAACTCGTGAGGAAAACTCCGGTTGGACACGCTTCTGACACTGATCACTTTCACCGCAAGGTGAGACAGGAAGCGTGAGCGCAGCGACCGACAGACAGACAACTTTTCCCTACTCCTACCGTTCACAGCTACACCTAAGGTTCTCTAAAACTCACAAAGGAGAAAACAGAAAGTGTTCCTGACCTTGGCGAGACACAGGGGCACCATTATAGGATTGAAAATCACGCTCGAGCGGTCGGTCCGCTGGGCTGAGCCCAGTTCGAGTCAGGGTGAGACGAAGTTTGAGGGGAGTCACCTCACCCTGAGTTCTGAGCCTAGTCCACTTTGGGAGCGGCGAGTTTCTCTAGACCAGTCTGACATCAGGTGATGTCCTTAAACAGCACCCTCGGCACAGACTGGTCGAGCTCACCTGCCTACTGCGGTTGCCCTCAGCCTACCTTCCAAGGAGTCTCCTCACTTTGAGCTAGGCGGCAACAAAAGGGTGCAAGGGAGGTATCTCAACCTTGTAGCTTCTCCAAGTCCACGGAGTCTCCTCACGTTGTTGGCTTGTAGAGCAAGGGAGTAACCTCACCTTGAGCAGACTTAGGCTTGTGACCAAATTGGCTCGTTGAATTAAAGCTGGAAAGGGGAGTCTCCTCACCTTGGAGCGGCTTGCAAGCTTAAGGGAGTCACCTCACCTTAAGACCCTTCAAGGGGTTTCTCAACTTGTTGGGGTGTCCAAACTTGGGATCGGAACGAGCTGCCAGGTTGTATCATCCGGATTGCTCCAAGGGTTGCTCAGGGGAATGACCATACCAACCCTGTAGCACAAAGGGAGGTAGGTTAAGAACCCCGAGTCCTTTAAACCCTCGAAGTGGTGCGGGAAGTCCTGGAGGCGGTGGAGGAAGACCTTGGCCAAAACCTCGGGGGAGCCATAGAGATGGATTTGTTCTTCCACCCATGGCCCAAACATTTCATGTTTGGCACATAGGCCAAGGAGCCCCTTGGTTGCCGCCTTTCCAGGCCAGTGCTTGTGCTGCGCTTCTCTCCAGCGGCCCCCGTCGTACAAACAAACCTGCACGTAGTCGGCCGAGCGCAGCTTTGCACTTTGGAGCGCCATGTTCTCGGCGCGTGTGCGCGCCAAGGTCGGGAGGGCCCAACCTACGTTGTGCTCCCCAAGATCCGACAAGCGGATATGGCAGGCACACAAAAACGCGACCACACTTAACAAGGCCAGGAGGTCCGGGACATCAAGTGTCCTAAGCCTTCCCTGCGGAGAAGCCACAGGGATGACCCGCCTGTAGAAAACCGCGCGGGCACGAAGGGAAAAACCCCGGCCATGGCCATTCTCTGACAAGGTGAGCAGGACTTCACCAGAGGACCCCGGTCGAGGAATAAAGGTGAAATCTCTGGATAATCCCTCCAGAAAAATCTGCTCCTGGTCCATGGCCTCGGCGAGCCCCAGCTTGAGGACCTGAACTTCGGCTCCAAGTCCCCATTGAGCCGGGGGCTCCAAGGTGACACGACTGCCACCTACCCCCAATACGGCCCATACCCCTCCAAGCTCGTCCTCCAGCTCCGCCGGAGTGTAAGTAGTCCAAGGCGTGCCAGACGTGCCTTTTTTGTTTAGGGACACGCCTCGGAGGGATCTCGGGATCTTCAGGGGCTGCTTGAAAAGAAGCTCCAAGGGAACCTCCGGATCTGGTTCTTCTCTGATGTCCTCGCCCTTGATTCCCGGATCTGGGCCTGAATGGGACTGCGCTGGGGATGGAGCTTCGGTGGTGGCCGGTGAGTTTGCCTCAACCTGGGCACTGGGGACAGGATCTGGGTGAGGTGAAGGTTCCTCAACCTGCTCAGGCACCAAAGAAGAGGCTGGCTCAGGTGAGATCTTTTCAACCTGTGTTTTGGAAGCCGGGCATTCTGTATCCGGCTTGGGCGCCGGTGAGGTAACCTCAACCTGGGAGCTTTGGGCAGGCTCCTGCTTAGGAGAGGTCAGTACCTCTTCCTGCTCAGGCTCCAAGGGAGAGGCCGGTTCAGGCGAGACCTTCTCAACCTGGGTTGTGGCGGCCGGGCCTGGATCACCAGCATCTGTATCCGGCTTGGTTGCCGGTGAAGGATCCTCAATCTGAGAACTCTGGGCAGGTTCCTGCTTAGGAGAGGTCAGCACCTCATCCTGCTCAGGCCCCAAAGGAAAGGTTGGTGCAGGCGAGACCTGCTCAACCTGGGTTGTGGAGGCTAGGCTTGGTTCATCAGCATTGGAAGGCGAGGGCACCTCAGCCTGCAGATTGGAACCGGAGGCTCTTGGCGAGGCCTCCTCAGCCTGGGCCTCTGTGCGTTGCCGCTTTGGCGGTGGTGGTGGTGGGGTTCGGGCTACCCCCGTCTTGGGTGCGGCTTTTGGCCTCGTGATAGGGGCCTCCACCGACCTTGACAAGTTGGGACCAGAAGCCGGAGGTTCCCGGTCGGTACCTGAATGCTGGCTTTGCCTGGAGTACCTTGATCTCGAAATAGCAGGTTTGCCCTCACTAAAACGATGCTGCAAGAGGGCCTGGTACCGCTGTTCCGTTACCGGGTCCTCGAAAGGGGCATTCTGCCCCTTCCCTGGCTTGTTCTTCCCTTTTCCTTTACCCATCTTGGAGCCAAAAGCTGCGAGAAGGCTCAGACATGGAGGGTTAGCAAAACCAGGTACGAGTAGCACTTAGACCAGGCTACATCTGCAGGCTTGGCGCAAACAGCACCTACCCCATCATCAGTAATAAGCTTGGAGGGGAGAAGTAATGTACGATAATGTCCAGAGGTCGGGGAGTTGCCAAAATGCGAGACCACGGCCTTGGGGTAGTAACGAAGAAGTTCCCCATCCAATCCCTCAAGCACACAAGGATCCTCAAAACCAACTGGGTTCTCGAGCCTCCGAAAACCCCCCCGTCCCCAACAAACCTCAAAAGCTGCAATGCAATCAAAGGCGGGTGAGTGAGGATTTTCACTTCTCCACCTTGTTGCCAACTTGCCAGGAGTTCCCTCATAGAGACTTCGTGCTCCGGGAGGTGAAGAGGAAGTGGGAAAAAGTTACCCTCGTGGTGAGGTGCATTGGGAGCACGAGCTCTCCATGAAACGCAAGAGAGGTCACGGGGAAACCCCGAAGAAAGGTGCATGAGAAGTTGACAAACATCATGCTGGCTGTTTGGGGATTCCCATCGACCCTGGCCTGCAACTAATCTCTTCCAAACCAGGGACTGCCACAGCTCGACTTTGCGTTGATCTTTCAACCATCGCAGAATGTCTGTCGGGTTTGAGCCGAAGTTTGAGCCGAAGTGGAACCCTGAAGCTAAACCGAAGTAACCACATGAAGTGAAGCGCATAAGAAAGATAATGAATGTCGTACTGCATGAAGTCGGACTTTTGGGCAGTGTGTGGAGACTGATCTGTCGCAAACTGGTGAAAGCCTCGGTTGCCCTTTCCTCCAGGGTGGAGTGGGCGGGTACACGAAAAGCTACAACTCCTTGAGAGTACTGCTTCGGACGGATGTCGATGTTCACAAGAACTCATCTCGCAAAAGGTGTCTCACAAATCTTCGTGGAAATTCTCATGTCAAGAAAATGTGTCGCAGATTGCAAAGCATTCAAAAGTCCCACCCAGGCCCGCCCCCCGGCACAAACCCCATCAAACATACTCTAGGTCCGGGGACCGAATAGCATGTCTGTCGGGTTTGAGCCGAAGTTTGAGCCGAAGTGGAACCCTGAAGCTAAACCGAAGTAACCACATGAAGTGAAGCGCATAAGAAAGATAATGAATGTCGTACTGCATGAAGTCGGACTTTTGGGCAGTGTGTGGAGACTGATCTGTCGCAAACTGGTGAAAGCCTCGGTTGCCCTTTCCTCCTGACTTTAGAGCAACAGAAGGTGATCACCAGCTTGTCTTGTCCTCAGTCCGCTGCCGCTTGCTGACCTTCTCGCCCTGGATGTACTTTCCGGCAAGCGAAGCTCGAGCATCTTCAAATGAGGCGCGAGCAGCGACCAACATGTCAAGCAAAGAAAAATCAAGCTCAGACAACTTGAAAGGTATTCGCTTAGATGTCGTGAACTTCTCGAAACGAAGATTCGTCAAGTCATCAGCTTCCACATTCTCCTCGCGGGGTCGCCACTGCAAACGACAAATCTTGCCACAGGAATGAAGTCGTGATACCATCTGCATGTGGACTGCCTGCACAGGCCATTTGTTGCTCAGACCCTTTTCTTGAATCGCAGGAGTGGAACGGTTGTCAGTCCCAGCAGATACGACGACCCTCAAGTTGTCGCGAGCCTCGCTTGCTTCAAGATGTCCGAACACTTGCAAAGCAGCATAAGATGCAAGAAGCTCCGCCGTTGTTGATGCCCACTGGCTCGACCCATCAGCCTTAAAGAGCCAGGGAGCCTGCTCAGGCAAAACTTCCAACGCGAACCATGGCGCATCCTTAGAGCTAAGCCCAGACTGCAAAGACCAACCTGCGATTACCACTCTCCCAGTTTCGCATTTTGCATCAGTACGAAAGGCTTGACGAGGACCGGGCCACGTCTGCAGAACACTCTCGAGGCGTGAACCCTTCTTGAGCTCGTTGCGTATGAAAGTGAGTGCGATGCACACCATCGCCGGTGCTCTGGCCACAGTCCCTCTATTCAAGACCGACTGGAAAGCGAAAAGCGGCGCCAAGAAAGGGCGCATCCACAACAGAAGCCTTGCCACAAAGTTGAGACGACCTGTCAGTTCGCTTAAGCGCCTGCCAGCCACCATCCAGCCTCCACTCTCGCAATCGTCGATCCAGCCGATGATCCATCCTGCACGACGCTCCGAAATACCTGCAGACCAGCCTTTGTACGCGATGTGGTATCCGATGAAATCAACAGTGATGCCACCTTTAAACTTCGCGTAAGAAAAAGGAGTTCCAATGACCTCGTACGCCAAGAGGGCCAGCCACAGGTTGTGAAATTTTCTCTCACCAGCCTGGACCAGATGAAGGTCATCAACGTATACGAGCTGCATGAGCCAAGCGATTCCCATCAAGCGGATGACCCAACGACCTACGCATCCGAACAATCTCGCCCACCAATAGGCGGACGAGCTTATACCGAATGTACAGACTGTATTGAGCCAGAGGACGCGTGATGTAGAAGAACTTCTGCAGCCCAGTCTCCCCCAGTCTCGACGACGAACTTTAGCTCGTCGGTGTGCTTGACTTATGTCCGCGCTAAGGGCGAAAACAGCTTCCTGATTCTCGGCAGCCACAGCTGTTGCTTCAGTGATTTCACTCGGTCCCGGAACGTGTAAAGCATCAAGTACGCGAATACGATTGTTCAAGCCAATGCCGTGAGTACCATCGTGAAGGGGACGGATGTCCCCATTCGGTTTCTTGATTGCTCCCATGGCTGCAATAAGAACTCCGTCCTCAGTCTGCTTCAGTTGTGCAAATCATCAAGCCTTTGGCCTCATCCTCTCGGAAATGGGCCTCAAGCTGTTCAGCCGAAAGTTCAGCTGATTCGTAATTTTGCATAACCGCCTGGAAAGGTGTCTCATCAAGCTTGCGGTAGCGAACCCGGGATCGAAACACCTGGGGAGTTCGCGGCAGTGGCTTGTCCCATCCAATCGGCACTCCTTCAGCGAATGATTCGTCGCCCTGCACCAGGATGGCATGATCGGGGTCGCCCATCATCTCCAAAGACTGTGCCAATAAATAAAGGAAGAATGGCTGCCTCTCAGGGCAGCACATAGCCTGCTGAGGATCTGGCAATAATGCAGCGATCTTGCTTCTAGCCGAATGCAATGCCGAAGGAGAAAAGGGTGATTCCTTCACCTGCCCTGTAGCAAGTTTGAAAGACATCAACCGCACATCCGGAATCTCCTCGCGCACAATCTGGTTGAGGATGTCACGTATGCTCTCGCAATGTTCCAACTCCGCGGCAGAAGCAATCCGATTCCTCGCCTGAGGTCTCCACCGCCCGGGGGAGCACAGTCCGAAACCATCATTGAATGCCGCCTTGGCCGGATCATGCCTGCACACCAAAGGTGGCCCAAAGCATCGGCTAGTCGTGGGGTCAAAAGATTCAGCATCATCTTTCTGCACAGAAGCCGTGGCCTTCTCTTCTCCTTCACCTTCACTTGAGATAATCTCGACATGCTCGTGATCTGAACTAGCACCCACTGCACCTAAAGGCTCGCGCGACACGGGGAGAGCGGGTGCAACAGAACGAACCGGGGCCCCAGGAGTGGACCCTTCCTGGGGGGTGCCTAGCCGAGCCAAAGCCCCAGCCGAAACTACCTCGGGTGAAGACGGGATTACCTTGGAAGAAGAAAGAACTACCTCAAGAGGGGGAACTACCTTTCTCGAAGTTGTTACCTCGCTCTTAATCTCACTCGGAACTGCTTGGGCTGTCGGTTGCGAGGCCTTCGGTTCCCCTGCGCTTGCAAGGCCCGAAGCCGGCAGCCGGAAACCCAATGAAGCCAGGAAATCCTTATGGTGCGAAGACAGGGCATGCCACTGCGACACAGAGTATGCAATGAGCACGAGACGATCACCCTGCCAATCGAGTGTTGCATGCAATCGATCCCTGGCATCAAGGATTACTGGTCCAGAGGCGACCTCAAGACAAGTGCCCATGCGTGTGACACCATCGCAGCTGAACGGAACCGTGCCTGCAGGGTCCTCGCGCCATATGCCTCCGTTCCTAAAGGCACTGATTGGCACAATGAGATTCGTGCCAGTCGCATTTCTCGCATCTCGGTGTGGCTGCGTGGCCACATTCATGAAAAGAGCACATGATGTAAACTGAAAGTCGGATTTCACCTGATGCAGGAAGGTGCAAAGCACCTTTGTGGCATGCGGAAACTTGTGTGCATTCGCACGAACGCCAGCAATACCCCCCAGACTACACGCACCAGTAAAGAAAGCTGTGCCTGAGCTCGCCTGGGAACCAGCATGCGGCGGCTCGTGCGGAAGCAAGCTAAACAAAGTCTCAATGTCACAAGCCTGAATAGCATGTTTTGCGAGCATCTCATGTGCAAACGCCTCAGCAGCATGTGGAAGCTCAGGCAATGCCGCTGAGTCCGTGGCAAATGCAGATGTTGTTCCCGACACTAACGCTCGTGCGATGAACTCACAGAAAGCTGAAGGGTAGCCGAAGGTAGAGCGCCAGGCAGTGCCGTCCCAGCCGACAGCAGCAGAATGATCGTGAACGCGGCACGGCTGTAATGGGCCGATGCCCACCTGAATCAAACGCCGGCCACTGGATGCCATGATGAGCCCATGCTTCCAGGTTCCCGGCGAGCCGCGTCGAGAACTGTGACTTCGCGCCAAAATGGCACAAATGCAGAGCGAAACTGAAACCGTTTTCCGATACAAGATTTCTCACCTCAGGCAGCTGCCAGACACTCGCAGGATGTGACCCGGAGGTAGAAACGCCCAGATCCTCAGGATGAATGAGCAGCCATGCACCGCCTGCTCGCGCCTGTAGCAATGCCGCCTGCAGACACTGTTTGACATGAAAATTTGCAACCGAAACTAGTTCCCTATCAGCATTGCGCAACCAAGGGAAGCCCCACGGGTAAGAGACATCGCGCATGGGTCTTGGACCATTGCGCCCAGCATGCCTGGTGCGAGCACGCGAAAAAGTGGATGCCGGTGGGGTAAGCAAAACAACATCCCACGACCCAGTCTTGATCTCCGAGAAGAGAACATCCCAGAAACCCGGATCACTGAGGTCCGAAGCTGGTTCGCGAGCCATATCAAATTCGGCCATTTGCAACTCGAAGTTCTGCTGAACCGCCAAGCTCGATAGCCATGCATGCACATCCCCCTCGTGAGAAGGGCCGGAGAAAACATGAGCGATACGCAGAAGTCAGTTCGCCGAACCACTGTCCTTCTTGTCATCCTTGATGCTCAACTTGGCAAAGTGCTCCCAAAGCGGATGCGGCTGGTTGCAACCCCGAACTCGGCAAACATGAACCCTCCCGCAGCCGCCAGAGCAGCCCTGGGCGTTGTAGGCGAAGCAGATCTCACGACCATCCGCCGTATGGCTCATCAGAGAATAAGCCGACTTGTCGCCCTTCTTTCCATTGCCTTTGTCCTTGGTGCCCTTCTTGCCACCTTTGGAGTCTTTGCCCCAACCCTTGGAGTTGGGGGTACCTTTGTTGCGGATCCACTTGCTTGCCTCCCATGGTGCATCTGCTGCCCACTCACGTTTGCTCCCAGCGTAATTTTGCAAAGCAATCGGTGAGGTAAAGAACTGCTCTTTGATTTGAGAATCCCGAACAACTGAAAGCAAGGTTTCCACCAGCGGTTGTGACCCCTGATAGGCCCTCTTGATGGCTTCCTTCCGCAGTTCATGCTCGTACGTCAGCAGCACCTGCCACGGCGGGCGCACCGGTGTCTGATCACTTCCTTTCCCCGCCTGAGAAGGGACCGGAATCTTCATCAAGTACACTTTCTCACCCAAGAGGTAATTCACATATTCCGCCCAAGGAGCAGGTGACATATCTTTGAAGAAGGCTTTGTTGCGGAAGCGACCCGCCATGAAGCAATAAGTATTGGCCTCAATTCGAAGCACCGTACGGAGCTCCTCAGTGGTCTGGGGCATTGCCCCCCGCTGCTTCTGCTTAACGATCCTGACGGCCCCTCCTTTGTCAACAGTGGTCTGCAACCCTTGTGTGCGGACGGCCTTCTTGCTGGTGACCTCATTGAGCGGAGATGCTGTGGGCTCCACATTCTCGAACTCCTCAACCTTGGCCGCCAGGTAATCATCCGACGGCTCGAAGGCCTCCTCAACAGTGCCGTGTGTGTTCTCGTACGCAGCCTTCATAGCTAAGCGCTCATTTTGCAGAACCGGTCGCACTATACCCAAGAATTTAGTCTCCGCGCGGAGCTCGGCTTCCTTAACAGCATAGTCCCTGCAAGCTTCCCATGCAGCCACCACGGCAGCCACCGCTGCCCTGTTGTTCATGTCAGTGGCCTCCAAGCCGATGTCAGCACGCAATGCAGTGCGCACTCCAGGCCTATCATCAGCATAAGCCGCAAACCTTCGCACATTCTTGAAGGCCTGTGTAATCCTGTACTGCACTGGCAAAGGAACCCCTGCGTCTTGCAAAATGTGCGCTAAGTCGGCACTCACCTCGGTCGAGATGTATGTGAGCGCCGCGCCCTCATTAACGCCTGCAGGAAATTCCATGACTGCGCAAGCGAACACTACCCCCTCGGCACTCCGGAAAACTCTCGAGATGCAAAACAACATTCACTTGCAAAAGTGGCAGTACTCAACACACATGCGAGCGGCAACTGATTGATTCATCAACTGAGAAGCCTCTGATCTTCGGCTCTCACTCCCTTTTGCGATCTCCGGCTCGCATCTTAACTCACTCACCCTCTTGATCTGCGGGTGGATCCACACTATCTGATCCAGAACTACTGGATGCTGGCCGACTCTGATCTGTTGGCCGACACCTCTTGCACACTGCATCTGCAACTGAATCTGTAACTTCGAAGATCGGGATCGTCTCCCTGCAGCGTTCCTGCCGCACGGCACAAGAATGGCTCGTATGGAGCCTCCGGAAACCTGATCTCGAGACTGTGACAAAATAAGGTGCTGCCACCGCCGGTCCAATCGTCTCCTCTGGAAGTTTGGCCCGAGGATCCCCTTTGGCCTGCTCCAAAATCCCAGGAGACATGCTAATCAAGGGGAATGTGCCCCCCAAGGCCCATGAGCCTCTCTCTTCATCCCACTCCAAACATTTCAATTGACGCTTGAGTTGCAGTGGTGGTCCCCCTCGCTTGACATAATATTCTTGAATCTCATTCAAGCTCTCCTCCTCAACGATCCCCGGGGAAGGCACCCCCTCGAGAATCGCCCGACATGTGGTAGACTGCACATGATGCACAACTTGTCGCGACGTAAGCACATAATCTTGGCTGCCATGCTTGGCTGCAGACCATCTCCCAAGGTAGTCGCGAGGCTCCTTGGCCACGCCTGCCGCCGCCGCCAAACTCGGCAACGTGTGCCTTCCAGAATGCCCTGTGAAATACGGCACAACAGCTTCAGGAAGCATGCGTGAATCACGACTGTAAGTCCACTTGCCTGACTTCTTAACTGGCATCGGCAGCTCCTGAAGCAGCTTGCGTATGTTCAAAGCGACCTCCTCACTGTCGATGAAGGTTTGAAGAGCAGTGTCCCTGTCACCGCAGAAGCGAACACACAAGAAGTCCCGCTCAAACTTGAGTGCTTCTGAATTCACCAACCGGTAGCCATGACCGATCCAATCGAATCCAGAAAGGCTAATACCTCGCATGACAAACGCTTGTAGCCTGCCAACATGTTTCCCTGCACCTGATGTCTTCGTCCTGTCCAGGGTCATCTTAAGCCCAAGCTGTGACAAGGTAATGCTCGCCGGGTTGATATTCTGAAGATCATCTACGCGCAAGGTGGCCCACACCTGAAGGAGGACCACGAAGGCATAAAATCTGCTCCACGTATCAGCTGAAGTGTTGCATACCACAAGCTCACACGCAATCAAGACAATCACCGGAAACATGGGTGCTTGCTTAACTGGCGCCGATTCCTGCTCGAGCTCAACCTTCCAAGAGCGAACACCCTCAATAAGCAGAGTATCCTCACTCAAGCGATCGGGGGCATCCACCTGACCAACCTGCTCCAGGAGGCCCAGTGAAGAGAGAACTGCCCCCGGGACAGTCTTGCCCAATGGTGAAATCTCATGCCTCTCTTCAAGGTATTGTAGAACGACTTCTGCCGACTGAGGCCAGCACACCGAATATGTAGCCTGTAGCCACTCCGCCAGCTTGTGCCACACCACAGCACGATTCTTTAAAGTCTTTGCTCTACGAGATCCAAAGGCACGAACCCAAGCAGCTTCCGGATTGCTCATAGCATCGATACGTGAGGCCGCAGGCAAACCCGCCTCACGGATGACCGTCGCCAGTTCCAGGATCCACCTCTTGCGACTGACCTCTTCCCTCGCCTGACGGCTATTGTCTGTGCCCATTCTCCTCTGACGCAATGCTTGTTCCAAGATGCGTACACCAACTTGTGGATTCTTAGACACCAAAGACTCAAACTCAGCACCGACATCCTTCTTTGGCACAGCCACCCGAGTGGCCAGCGTCTTAAGAGTGCCTGCACGGAAAGAGACCTCGCGCTTGACCCTCGGCTCAGCCTCAAGACTCCACTGACGAAGCTTGCTAGCAAATCTGCGCCTCTTCTCTGGAGGGTATTGTCCTTGCAATGCATCCTCCACCAAATCAATGGTACTCCCTTCGTCAAAACATGCAAGTGCAAGATTGCAGGGATCACTGAAAACTTTCTGCAGCTTTCCGCAAAGAGTATTATCAATCTCACTGACAGCTTGCCACTCAAGAGCCATCGAATGGCCTTTCTGGAGCCGGGGCTCACACGACCATCGCGCCAACGGTCCCCCAGCCCACTACTCTACACGAAAAGCTACAACTCCTTGAGAGTACTGCTTCGGACGGATGTCGATGTTCACAAGAACTCATCTCGCAAAAGGTGTCTCACAAATCTTCGTGGAAATTCTCATGTCAAGAAAATGTGTCGCAGATTGCAAAGCATTCAAAAGTCCCACCCAGGCCCGCCCCCCGGCACAAACCCCATCAGACATACTCTAGGTCCGGGGACCGAATAGCATGCCCTGGATGGGGGATCCAGCAAAGGGGCTGGAGGCATAAAGGAGCAGATCAATCCAAAAGAAACCAACCACCAAAGAATTGGTATAACAATGATTGGATGGATTTTGGAACTTCACCTTGCGAACAATGGAGCCAGCAGCCCTTAAGTCTCCAAGCTCCGGGCTACAAGAATCCCGGTGATCGCGGACAGCAGGAGAGTTAGGCTCAATCCTGACCATGTTCTGCAAGGGAGGGTCGTCGGAAGTGAGGGTTTGCAGGGGAGTGGCCTCAACCCTGTTAAGTGGTGTTGCAAAGAAGTTGCTAAGGTTTCGGGCTTTTGGGAGGGTCTCCTTAGAAAGCTTGCTAGCCTTCTTGGAAGCAGGTAGTGACTCCGGAACCCCTACACCACTTAACAGACTCTTGGTGAACTTAGTCAGTTTGTTAGTGTGTTTACGGGTCACACACAGGGACTGGAGGAGCCCCGGGACTTTCTTTGCCCGCGCTGGCAAAATGCCTTCACACACTTTACACTGCCAAGCTTTGCCAATGGAAACAAGCTGATGGGAGGAGTGACAGGCCAGGTGCTCCGGGGGACGACCTTCCCCTCCTAGGCACGGCTGTGCAAGGACCTGCTGGAACAGTGACGGAGGGTCCACTTGCTGCAGGTAAAGGCCACATTTCCCACACATGGCTGTGAGGTTCGTCGGGTGCTGACTCCGAATTTCCCACTGGTGTCCCTGCGGAGATACGGTTTGGCTGACGAGTTGCTCAATCTGCTGCCTTTTGTTAAGGGTTGGAGGTTTTGGCTGGCGCTTGCAGAAAATAGTCTTCTTATCCTGCGTAGTAATCAAAATCTCCGCCCTCTGACTAAGTAGCTGGGAAAGGGTGGAAACCAGCGTGTCAACTTGCCGGACTTGCTTTCTGGCATCAGGGTGCAAAGCTTGGTCAGCCCTGGACCCGGCAAGCTGGTCAGCTTCCTGATTCAAATGCCAACGCCAAACCTCATCTTTTCCAAACTTTTCAGCAAATTTTCCTACATCCAAGTGGGCCTTGACCCAATGAAGGTGTTGTGGGGAGATGCTCTGCCATTGGGGTTTCCAAAACATGGAATGCTTGGATGTAACCGCCTTAGCTGCGGCCTGCTTGCAAGCTACCCGAGAATCTGTAGTAAGATCCGTCAGGCCCGGGCAAAGCTCATGGGCCTTGACAATGGCATGGACCTCCCCATCTAGAACCGTGGCCGGCCGAGGCAAAACCCCGCTCGCAGTTGCGATGACTGTGATGCTTTGGCCCGTTTTACGTGCTAGAATCACAGCCCATCCAATGGTCCTCAATCTGGGATCGGAAGAGAATTTGCCACCACTGGCATCGGTGCCAATGACAAAATCCGAGTCCCAGGTCTGTGACGGCCAGGTGCCCTCATACCTATCCTCAGCGTTCTGAAGTGGCGAGGAGACGTAGGCAAGAGGGGGAAGGGCTCGCAACCAAAGGCAGGGCGCAGGATGGGACTGACGCATTTGTTCAAGATGCCGGGGAAGCTTTGGCTGTCTAGCCCATCTAGGGCAGTCCCACAGCACATGTTGTAGTGTGTTGTCTGACTCAATGCCCCGATCCTTGCAGTAAGGGCACTTGGGGTGGCCACCACTTCCCGCATGCACAACTGCTCCTTGCCAGATTGACCGGTAGAAGGTCAGACGTTTGGTCTTCTTTAAAGCAATGCGGCGATGAATTGTAAAATCTACACCATCCTGAGCTCCTTGACCGCCATGTTGGCAAGAGATGGCTCGCAATCTTTCGCCCTTGATGGTAGACCGAATCTTGCGCCGCAGCTCCTGAAAAAGAAAGGGGCTGAAGTCAACGGGCCAGGGGTGGCCATCAATATGCCAGACTTCCGGGGACTGGACATCCCATCCCATGTCCCTGGCATACTGAATCATGGCCGAAATGGGTCCGGCAACGATTTTCCAAGGGTGAGGCGAAGCCTCCAACCTGGATTTGACCAAGGGCCAGGACCTTTGAACTTCCGCCCAAATGGAAGGAGAACGGCCCAGAATACGAAGGAAGACTTGCAAATGCTCACAAATGATCTGCTCTCGGGGATCCGGAAATCTGTGGGAGAACATCTCCAAGACGGTCAGGGTTCCTCCAAGATGTTGGCGTCCTAAGCTACCAGCCAGCACAGCGCGGTGCCATTTCAACCGTTTGGGGCTAACACCCTGTGCCTGATGGCCATAGGTGGCACATGTCATGATGGATCCGCGCACAACCCTAGTGCGTGAACGATGCGAATCAACACCTAAAGCACGAAGGCGCTTGTGGCGGCCTTGCGCCTTCTTGTGCCTGCCAAGAGAGGTGGCAAGCCTGCGGCGTCTGCCAGCATTGCTGTCAACCCCTAAGTCTTTGGCTAACAGAGTAATGCCAGGATCTTGGTCCGAACGCAGACGCTCAAGAACTTGAGAGGTGGCAGAATCTGAGCAAAGAAACTTGGTTTTCTCCAAGGAAACCTGAAGATTTCGTTCCGCAAGAGAATCTCGCAGTATACGAAATGTCTTGAGGGCTTTGTGAGCCGTGTTAGAAGCAGTGGAACCTACCACGTCAGCCGAAATGTCATCCAGCCACTGGTCTATGTTGTGAGTGAGGCCAGTAGCCTGAAGGTCCCTGATTGGGACAAACAAAGCCAGTTTCGAAACCACCGGCGCAACAGGGCAACCCTGAAGCAACCCAACTGTGGGAATTATTCCCGGCGAAACTGAATTTTCGGCTGAGACAAATCGTGTCCCACCATAAATTTGAAGGGAAAGCTCCAAAAGCAAAGGTGGGAACTGCAGCAGGAGTCCGGTATCGACTACCGAGGCCCAAACAACACAATCATAGAAGCCTTTGATATCAAGAAAGAGTCCTACAAAGTGTTTGGACTGAGTTCGGGAGGCTTCGGCCCACAGCAAACGGCGGATGCCGATGTCTAGTGATGTTCGTCCTGGCACTGCGGCATCCCAAGGAGCCAGGGCCTGGTAGGAGACCGTCCACTCTTGGATCAGGGACCACCTGGCTCTGCAGTAGTCCCTCCACAAAACGTGAGTTAAAGAGATAGGTCTCTCAGCAGTAGCCGATTTGGGCAGCATACAAACTTGTGTCAGGAGAAACTGCTGCGGGACTCGGAGGCCTCTTTCGAGCTCCTGATAAAATTCAGCGATGTCCTGAAGCATTGGCCAAGTCAATTTCTTGAGAAGGGACTTGCTCCAGCCATCCGGTCCTGGGGCAGTGACCCTGCCTTTGGAAAACCTTTGTTGCAGCTGTTCCGGGGAAATGGGGCTCAGGGTAGCGACCTGCTGAGCAGCCAGTTCCCGTAGCTTTCCGCGAGCCTGTTGCTCTGCGTGTGGAAGAGGAGGAAGGTCCTCAACTCTAAGTACGCCTTTCCAAGTGCGGAGCCATAGTTTGGTTCTAGCCAGGGCGCGGACCTCTGCGGACAGATCCCGAAAGGGACGTGCAGTGGTGATTTCACCTTTTTTGATCGTCTTGAAAAGGGGAGCCATCCCTTTTTCTTGGGCTCCCTGCAACCACGACCTGTACGACTTGGTCTGGGCATCCTGGTGAACTTTAGAGGCCAGCAGAAATTGCTCCTGCAATAATTGCTGGACGGGCTCAGGAACAGCTGCCTGCTCCGAGAGACAGGCCTGGAGCGTAGAAAGAAAGGAAACAGCCTCCTCCGAGTTGCCCTGCCAGTGGTCCAGGATCTGCGGCAAATACTCCTGGCATTGCTCTCGACGTTTGGGGTGGTCTCCCTGGCACAGAAATTGTACCCGGTGCCAAAAAGCCTGGCAAGAGCCTTCCCATGCGAACTGGGACATGCGAGGAACAGCTGGGAGGAATTCAACTTGGAGTTGGCGACCAATACCCTGGGACGTTTGCAAAAGACTGTGCTCCACCGAGCTGGAAATGGAAGCCAGTCGATTGCTCAGGGGGTCAGCCGACAAGGTGGTATCGGGCAAAGAGGCGAGGGTCTCCTCAACCTGCATGTAATCAAGCGGTTCTTCCCTGAAGGAAAGCACAAAGGAGGGAAGCTGTGGAGTGGTGAGCTGGAAAGCGCCCACATTAAGGGCAACTTGGATTGCTGCATGTGGCTTGAAAGGAACATCCCAGGAGGCATCAACCCGGAGCAAACCTTCCAGGCAGTGTGATACAGCCAGAAAATCAAGCTCATTGTCACCACATGTGGCTTTGTTGGGCCCAATTGGTTCAAGGGACAAACTTTGAAAAATGGCAGTGTCCAACAATTCCTTCAAAGGCGAGTTCCAATCTCCACCTATCAGGATTGGGCCCCTTACAGATTGACGAATTGCGCGCAGAGATGCTAGGATGTCAGAGTTGACCGGGGACCCGAAGCCGGAGGAGGACTGGAGGTACAGGCTAACTACTGTCAAGTCAGCCCCTTGTGTGCGTAGCGTCACCGCCACGTAGCCGCAACCTTGGTTGGTATACTGGCCTCGCAGACGGGCTCCCAGGTGGGCTCTAACTAAAACCCCTACTCCGCCTCTAGAGCTATTCCGTCGGCCTTCCCCAGGGGCTGCGGGCACAAGGAAGGAGTCAAAGCCCATGGCAGCCATAGACGAAATTTCAGCAACAACTTGGGACTCCAAAAGGTGGTGCTCCTGAATCAAGATAACATCCCCTTGAGCTGAAAACCATTGCTTGACTTCGGGCCTCCAAGAAGTGATGTTGCAAGATGTGACTCGCATTT